CCGAGGCAGTTATCACTACGGAAGTAGGATTGCCCAACCTTCCTTCCGAGGAGTGGCTGGTGGGTTTGAACCGCCAGCCGTCTGGTTAGCAGGCAACTGTCTTAGCCACTATGCTACCAGAGCTCCCCCTAGATTTTTCTTTTTATCAACTTCCGTTCAGATAAACCAGTAATCAGTTTGAGATTCCTTAATTTTTTAAACCAAGAATGTTGAAAGGCAGAATAAATCTTTCTTAAAAGTAACTACTCATACAGGTTCTACTAACTGAGGAAATATTTATGAGCTAAGCAATTGCCCCAACTGCGTTTTGACCGGGAGCCACATTTGTAGCCAGACAAATATGGCTTCCTGGTAGGAAAGACACTTTGCTTGAGGTCTGCCTTCTACTTGTTGCTGCCTGTGTTAGGCCAGGAAGCAGGAGTATGGCCTAACTTCCTTTCTCTGCCACCGATTTCCTGTAGCTGTATAGACTCCTTCAGAATGCCCTGGCCGAAAAATATGCTTTTGTATGAGCTCAGAGTTGTCAGTGTCTTGTACGAATTATATGCTTGGTCATGATATGCTTGGTCAGTGAAAATACCAAACATGCTCAGACCCCAGAAGAGCTGCACTTACTCCCGGCAGCCTAAATGTGAGAGCTAGAGGTGGATGAGTAGGCAGTCAGCATTTCTCCCTCATTTCTCTGCAGTCTGTCTGGACTAGGGCTGGGAGGTGGGGACTCTTCTTCTCCATTCACTCCAAGTGTCTTTAGTCCACCCACCTAAACATGTACTGAGTAGAAAACCGATTCATTAAATGAGATAATCACAGGGCCCAGCAAAGCCAAGAAATATGTTTTCATAGGTCACTTGTTGCACTTTTTCTCTATATATTTTTTTCATATAGGGCTTCATTGCCCTAACTGCCTAGTTAATAAAGTTAATAAAATTTTAAATCAATAATTTGATCCTCATTTGACTGAGGTTGGTGCATTTGGCCACATAGCTTACTGCCAGCTGCCCCCTTTAAAAAGCAACATCTTGGATTTCTAGTAAAGTAATTCACATGTTGCAGTTACCAAAAAACTTTGGGATATTGGGAGAGAGGAGCAGGGCTATATTTGAGAGCCCTTAAATATTTTAAAAAATTAGAGTATAATTTACATTAAGTAAAGTACACAAATTTTAGTGTTTAGCCCAGTGATTTTTTTTACTGTGCTTACACCTGTACACCACAATCCAGATGAAGATAGAGAACATTTGCTACACCCTTAAAGCCTCCCTCAGTATCCTCTGCAGGATAGCCATTATTTTGACTTTCATCACCATAGTTTAATTTTGCCTTTTCTTGAACTTTATATACATGGGATCATACAGTATATACTTTTTTTCGTCCTTAACTTCCTTCACTTAACATAATGTCTGTGAGAGTCATCCATGTCATGGCATTTATCCCTGCATTATTTATTTACGTGTGGTTGGTTTGTTGCTCGCTTGAGTTCTGATACTTTATTTGGAAGGGGTACACCCAGGGCAGTAGGATTGAGGAAGTGTGGAAGTGAAGTATGGGAAGAGGGGAAGTGCTACGAGGAAATGAGTTACCCTGCTGGCCACTACCCAAGATGAGCAATGACAGATATAACTGGTCATTCACTACCTGGCCACATGGGAAATTCCCAGAGAAACTGTACCTCAGAGCAGTCCAGCAGAAGAAAGAAGAAGGAATTTATTTGCCTAGCTCATTGCTGTCTCTTGGTTATCATTCAAAATTTATACAATATGGCAAGTTGTATTTCTCTTTTAACAAGAGCGACAAGATTAAAATAAACAGCAGAAGTAAACAGTGGAGAAAAAAGGGTATTTTGAATGGGCAAACTGCAGAATTGTGATAGAAGGGCAGGACAAAAAGCTTTGCTATTCGTGTTTTTGGTATTAGTTTGAAAAGCCACCTTTCACCAAGTTACAGCCAGTCCTGAAGTTCCTAGGTATCTGTTGGGAAGAACAAAACATACTCCCCTTAGTTCTCCGGAACTTTTCTTGAGAAGCATGGAGAAGATTTCTACTTCATCATCCTAGAGACTTAGTAGCTTGGAAACTGGTATGAAATTGCTGAAGCTTTATATTCTGCTTTATGTTCATTTATTCTTATCTTATATTTTCTTTCTCTCTCTTTTGTGATCCTTACTTTATGGCATGGCAAGACAATTCACACCCATATTTTGCATTTCCTTTTTTTTTTCCCCCACTTTTACATATTTTACCCTAGACCTGGAATTAGATCTCCAATGAGTCATAAGATCATAAAGATCATAAAATCAATTTTGGTCAATGACATGAGACAAAGTATATGTGAACTGCTGTATGAAAAGTGAATTTACTCTGTAAATCTTCACCCAAATCCTAATAAAAAAAAAAAAAGAAGAAGATCATAAAATCATTAAGACCATGATTTGGGTACTATGACATTTATTGAGCTTTCACCACATGCCTACATTTGTATTCCACTTTCTCCCCTAAAATTATACCTAGGGCAACTTGTTGCTATGGGAATTTGACTACATAGTTGAATAAGTAAACAATGAATGAGACATTGTCTTTGGAGTCCTGTTCAGTGTTGGGGTGATTGCCATTCAGTTTTTCTTTTCTTTTAATTTCAGTCTTTTGCTTCTGAGTATACTTTATTTAATAGTGTTTTCTAAAATCAAACTGAAGCTTCTTTGTTTTCATTGTCTTTCTTTTCCTTTTCCCCCTATTAGTTATCTTTCTACCCAGTGACCTTGCCTTCAGATAAGGCGGCAGGCTGTGGACCGGCGGAAGCCACGAGTGCACTTGTCACTGGTGGAGAGGAGGTTGCAAGCACAGTGGTCATAGTGGAGTGGCTTCTGGTGTGTTACACATTGATCAGGGTGCATGCGGTCATTTTCTGTTGGAAATGCAATCATGGTATCCTAGCACCATGTTCTTTGTTTCTCTGCCTGTCTGATGAATATGCAGACAAAAATATATCTGTCAACTCCTGTGGCAGTGAAAACTGAACAGGCTGAAAAGAAAAAGATCTCAGGGAAAGTACAATCCCTGGGTCAGAGGGAAGATTTGATTTGTTGAATCATCAAAAACTCTGAAAGTGGGAAAAATTCAAGCAATTTTTGTAATTTTTTTCTCTTGCTTTTTCTCACCCTGTTCTTTTTAGATGTGGTTCGGACATTAAGCAATGCCGAGGAGTATCTTGATGATGAAGACTCCGATTAATTCCCTTCCAGAGCTTTGAGATCTAAAATTTCTGTTGCTTTTGCCATTCCAAAATCTTGTCTTTCCCAGAAGAGTGTTGGTAACTGTCTAGGAAAAAAATATATATATATATATATATGAAGATGGCAGTATTGCACTGTGTTTGAGTAGAACATGTAAATGAGTAGGTCTCACCTTCGGTTTGCCAATAAGTGACTGGATACTTTACTATATAAAGTACTTTATGTTCACAAGAGTAGACAAGAAGAGATTATTTCTATTTATCAAGTTAAAAGAATTTTAAGATTTTGTTTTTGTTTTAGTTTAAGTTCCTTACCTCAAGGATTGAGATGTTTTGAATGGATTATTAAAGGGGGAAGTGCTTATTATGATTATAAACCAAAATATTTTCAGAAAATCGTCAGCCATTCTGAAAAAAATAAACATTTTAAGAGACTTTGTTCTGTTTGTATGCTTTTGTGTTATCACTTATTGCTGGTAAATAAATAAAGTTTATGATGTTTACATTTAAGGAGCACTGATAGTGTATTTGGCTGCTAACCAAAAGGTCACTGGTTCAAAACCACCAGCTGCTCCATGGAAGAAAGATGGAACAGTCTGGTTCCGTAAAAATTTACAGCCTTGGAAACCTAATGGGGGTCACTATGAGTTTGAATCAACTCAATGGTAGTGAGGTGTTTTTCTTAATATTTAGATTTAGGTAAGGACTTTATTTGTTATTTAAATTAAATTTATTAGCACAGAAGAATCACAATATCCAAATTTTTTTCAATTTCCTACTTATGCTTTGATTACAGTTAAGACAGTAGTCACTGGGAACATATATTTCTAATAAAATGTATAATTTTAATAGTTATCCTAAGACTTCCGGTTTTATCTCCAAGGTTATATAGTTAATATGAAGAAACTTCTATTAAGGTTTGTAAGGTTAAAAATAATGATTTCCAAAGATGCCAGTTTTCCATGTGGAGTAGCCAGGAACCATAAATATTTCTTGTGTTCAGTTGTCAGCTCTGATAACATTTGCATTTCAAAGCATGGATCTAGTTCATAATTAGGCTACTTTTACTGAAACATCAACTGGCACTATAGGGAGCCTTCTTGGATACCAAAGAACATTTAATTTGAGGTTTTAATTTTGCATCTCTTCAATGGTGATATTACAAATAGTATGGTCTTTGGAATTTGTCTAGATTCCAGGTCCTAGGCCCAGAAGTATATTTTGTAAGAAGATTTTGATGCTGATTTCAAAAAATGTTGGTGAAAAGAAGGGAATGCTTGAAGAATGGGTTAGCTCAGGAAATGAATAGCTGCCTCTTTTTTTCTTTCCCTTTCCTTTTT